CGTTACAGTCCTTCATCAAAGAGAAGTCAAGGCAAGAATTGGGGTACAAGAACTGAAGCAGAGACCATGGAGGAATGCTACTGACTGGCTCACTTTTCCTGGCCTGCTCAGCTAACCCCCACCCCCCTTTTTTTTTTGGTCTTTTTGAGACAGGATCTCCCTGCAGCCCCAGCTGTCCTGGAACTCACTATGTAGACCAGGCTGGCCTTGAACTCACAGAGATCCGCTTGCCTCTGCCTCCCAAGTGCTGGGATAAAAGGCGCGCGCCACCATGCCCGGCCCCCTTCTTTCTATTTTTTAAAAAAGCACTTCATACATTTCTATAGATCGACAGAATAACGGATCAGTAAGTTAACACCTGTCATTCTATTTTGAGGTCCTTTAAGAAACAGAGAAACCAGCTGTCTCTTTTTTTTAGGACATCTGCCAAAATGGAATTGCTCTTTTTTGACCTTTGCCAGCTGCTTTGAGTTCTCGGGTCCTTTCCACTCTATGGCTTCCTTTCCTTTATACTTAGTTTTCTATACCTTCAAATCTTAGTTTTCATTTTGCCTCAAGTTGCATTCTCCTCTCACCATCACTGTTTCCCTTTTTTCCTATGGCATATTTCTCTCAATGTTTTCATGCCACCTTGACCAGCCTCTTCCTAATATTGCCAATACTCTCTAGCCCCAGGTCGTTTCAGGGGTGACTCCTCTGATCTCCTTCTGCACACTGACCAGGGAAATCTTGCAACCTTCTTGCCAACCATGACATGGCTGCAAAAGAGCATGGTGGAGGCAGGGCTGTCTGCAGGTGAGAGCTCCTTGGAGGCGGGGAGGGTATGTGTGCAGTTGCAGATATCTGACTCAATGCAACCCGCACTCAGAAGGCAGGCCACTCTGTCCACTCCATCCCGGAGGCGGAGGAAGGGTGCAGAGGCCACCCTGGCAGGGAAAGTCCAGGGCTGCTTGGAGAGTGAAGCACGAAAACGGAGGCCAGGAGGCGGGATACGTCCCGGCTCCTTCCCGGGGGTCCCCAACTTCCCCTCGCGCCCGGCGCCCGGCTTCCCGACGCGCTGTCCGCAGCACCCGCAGGCCTGGCGGAGGCGGCATCAAGCCCTTCCCGCTGGCCCGGTGCGGGGCCTCCCCTGCTGCATCCTACTCACCTCACACGGCGGTGCGGCCGCGCTGCTCCACACGAGGCCGAGCCAGGCCCGGGCGGCAGGTCCCGGCGGGGCGGCCGGGGTGGGATCCCGGGGGCTCCCGGGCCGGGCCGGGCCGGGGGTGGGTCCCGCAGCGCCGCTTTCAGTTTGTTCCGCTGTTTGAAATTGGCGCCGGCGGAGCGTTGCGGTCACGTGACGGCACGTCACCGATCTGCGCCAGCTTGTCTCCGCGTTCCGGCCTCGAACGCTCACTCGGAGCCCTGCGAGGAGCGGCGGAGGTCGCGGCCCACTGGCGGGTAAGGGGGGCCGGAAGGCTCGAGGGGCGGCGGGCGCGGCGTGGGGACGCAGGGAAGTGTGGGACGGCGGCCGCTAGGCCTGCTCGGTCGTCGGGCCTGCTCGGTCGTCCTTCCTTCAGCGGCCTCTGGAAAGGCCCGCGTTAGTTCACTTCCTTCCGGGGGACCGCCCGCCACTGAGCCCGTTGAGCTACCCACTTGCCACTCCCTGGGCCCAGACCAGACCTGGCTCTCGGGGCTGCGTGGGAACCGGCTCGATTCTCCGTCACCATCACCAGATCTGCACGCACGTGCCTACGTCCCGCCTCGGCTCTAATACACCCGATCGCCTGCCTCCTCATAGGCCCAGCCTTTGGGTAGACAGCACTGCACTTAACGTATTTTGTTAAGGAATTAAAGTGGCAGACAGAGTTTGACCTTCCCCTGAGCTTACAGTCAGATGGGGGAGAGGAAGCGCAGTTATCTTCCCAAAATGAGATAAGTAGAATTCTATCTATTACAGGGACAAGTTAGAGGCCGGTGATTTTTGTTTGATTGAGACAGGGACCCAGCATGTATGTAGAATTCTCCATTCTCCGGCCTCCGTCTTCGGAGTAGCTGGGCTCCCAGGCTGGCAGCGACACTTTGAATTTTAGGATGAGAGATCTTAGGACCGAGTGTAAGATCTGGTGCCCTTTAGTAAGCAAAAGGGAAGGAAAACCCTTGAAGAAGACAGAAAATGTACCCAACGGCCGCCTGGCAGGAGGAGGCCTGGTGAGCACAAGCTGAGGGATTTGGACCAAGACATGAGAGTGTGGTATGAGTCTGAGAAAGCAGGCCTTTTGGCCGTGCTGAGTTATGTCCTTACCAGTAAGGAAAGGAAAACTGATGGTAGGCACGTGGCACATACCTGAAATCCTGAGTCAAGGAGGATCTCAAGTTACAGACAGTCTGGGCTACCTAGTGAGAACCCCCGCCCCCCAAAAAGTTTGAGGGCAGTGCCGTTCCATGGGCTTGGGTCCTATGTTCTACCAGACTGAATAAAAATGGATGTGTATAATATATATGTATATATGCATATATATACATACACACACACACATATATATATATATCCAAAATAAGTCCTTAAGTTGCTTTTGTTGGGGTAATTTATAACAGCAACAGAAAAAGGAACTAATTCAGAGAAGTATGCCTGCAATCCCAGCACTATGGAGGCCACATAATGAGTTTGAGGCCAGCCTAGGCTACATAGAGACCCTGTCTCAAAAGCCGATATAATTATTTAAAAGAGGGCTGGGATGTAGCAAAGTGGTACAGTTCCTGACTATCATATGGTGAGGCCCTAGGTTCAATGCAAAAAACCAAAAACTGTATCTTCAAAATCATTCAAGGATAGAGGAAATTGATAGGTATAGATGGGTCAGAATTGATCATAGGTTTATGGTTGTTGGAGGTGAGTGATGAGTACATGGCTCATATCACTCAGTTGACTGCTGTTTATATTCCACAGTATCTGAGGTGGATTTTTTTTTTTTTTAAATCAAACCAGACAGAACTCACATGTAATCACATCTTTATATTTGGAAATCTTCAATGACTACTACTCTATTCAGGCTCAAATCCAAACTCATTAGGCCTTACCTGGTTTTCCTGACCTAATGTTGACACCATGTCTAATCATTATTATTTTGCAAATTCATCTTTTTAGGTGGGGTGTGATGGTATAAGCTTTAATCCCAGCACTCAGGAGGCAGAGGACAGCTGGTCTACATAGAGAGTTCCAGGCTAGTGAGGGTTACATTGTGAGACCCTGTCTCAAAACAACACCTTCCCCCCAAAACCTTTATTTGTTAGCTAGATATTCACAGCCTCACAGATACTGACATTGTATGTGTGATGGGATGATGCGATATACATGCCACAGGACATGAGTGGAGTTAAGAGAATAACTCTGTGGAGTCTGTTTTCAACTTCCACCACATGTGGGTTCCAGGGGCCAGGCTCAGGTTGCTGGTTTGTGAGGCAAGTGCTTTTACTGCTGAGCTATCTTGCCAGCCCGCCCCTGCATCTTTTCATACCCTGAGCTTGTAATTTCCTGAATTCCCAAAACATCTTTTTTTGTTTTCTTTTTATTGATTAATTTACTTAGCTGATCTCACAGTAGCTGAGGATGATCTTGAGCTGGACTTCCTGCCTGCCTCCCTTCCTAAATGCTGGGATTACAGGCATGCAACACCAAGCCCAGCTTGGTCTGATTTCTTTTTTTTGAGACAAGGTCTCCCATGTGTAGCCCAAGCTAGCCTTGTAATCCTGGTCTTCCTGCCTCAGTCTCTGAGTGCTAGGATAACAGGCATACTCCCCCATGCCCAGCTGTAAGGCCATCTCCGAATGTGCTGTTCCTCAGGTTGGAGTGTCCTTCCTGCTCTTCTGCTTCTCCCAGCTCTTCCCTTTACAATTAGGTGTCTTCCTGTCGAGAAAACTTGCCCTGAGGTGAAGAGAAACATCCTGTATTATATTGAGTTGTAATGGTGTTTCCTTCTGCTGAGCTCTCTTTTCCTTCCGTCCTTTCTTTTTTTGCTTTTCATTTTTTCTTTTTTGCATTGCTGGGGATTAAACCTAAGACTTTGCACATTTTAGGTAAGTGTTGTACTACTAACCTCAGCTCCTCAAAAACAGGGACCTCTATCATTACAGATATTTAGGACTCAGTAAGTGCTTGTTGAATAGTAGTTCATTCCCAGCACTCAGTGGGCACTTACTGTGAGTCCAGCAGGTATCCATGGAATGGGTGTTATCAAATATTGAATAGTGTATTTTTGCTGTATAGAAAACTGTGTTAACCTTGAGGTCTGAATGGTAGTTTTTGGTAGAATTGGCTAGGCTGGTGTATTGAAGAGCTGGGAGAATCACCTGAATAATTTTCTCCAGCTTTTTTTCTTCTCTGCAGGCATGGTTTGCAATTGGTGCCTGTCCCAGCCCCAGAAGGAAACCTGCATCATGTGTTTACTAACTGCTCTTCATTTACCTATTGATGCCGCCCAAGAAACGATGCTGCCAACGGTATCAGAGGCCCCAGCTGATATTCTACCAACAGCCACTGGAGGGCCCCAAACACCATTGTGAATCTCCACAGCGGCCCATGACCCGCCCTCTACAGGTGCCCAGCAAGCCCATTGACAAGGGCACTATCATTTCCTGGGTAGGTCTTGAGATTCTTTGACCTTTACCCTGTTAAACTTTTCTTGAAATAGGCCCTCTAAAGAATAAGATTCATGAGCCAGGTGTGGTGGTGCATGCCTTTAATCCCAGCACTATGGAGGCAGAGGTAGGCAGATCTCTGTAAGATGGAGGCCAACCTGGTCTACATAGTGAGTTCCAGGCCAGCTGGGGCTATAGGGAGACCCAGTCTCAAAAAAACAAAACTAAGTTAAAAAAAAAAAAAAAAAAAAAAAAAAAAAAAGGGTTAGATGAAGTTAGTCTTCCTCATTTTCCTCTGAAAAAGTTCCGTGTAATGTTTCACTACACAGTAGCTGGGTGAGGAAGCCAGAAAAATGACACATAAAAAAATGAGATTGTTTCCTAAAATTCATATGAAAAGTAGAGTACTTAGCTAGCTAGTACTACTCTACTGTCAAGGGAACTGAATGGGGCAGATGACGACAGAGAATGGCATGGTAATCCTAGTATTTGGGAACTTGAGGCAGAATGATCTCAAATTAAGACCAGCCTGGACTACATGAAGACTGACTAATTGTCATATGCTAGATCCCATTTCTGAGCATGACTTCACTTCCTATCCTGCAGCAGCCATTCACTATTTACCGAGGACCAAGTTCTTACCAGGCACACTGCTTGGTGCTGGGAAATTGCTGGCGAATAAGACTGTTGGTTCTTGCCTTCATGAGGTTTTTTTTTGTTTGTTTAGCTGTGGAGATTGAACTGTTGAGCATGCTGAGCATGCCTCTACCACTGAGCTATACTAGTCCTGCCCTCATGAAGTTTAGAGATACAGTTAACAGGTCATTAGCAGTATAGTATATGATATGAAAGATGCATTGTCTCCTTCCTCCAAAGCAACCTGAATGCCAAACAGATTGAATAACTTGCCCAAAGTTCATGTCTTATTATTTTTCCATTAGATAGCTTTTGTCTGTTATTATAGTGAGTCCCTACTTCAGATTCTGGATAAGAATTAAAGAGGATTGGGACTGGAAAGATGGCTTAGCAGTTGAGAGCACTGGCTACACTTGCAGAAGACCCATTACCCACATGGCAGCTAACAACTATCCCTAGGTGACCTCATGCCCTCTTCTGGCCTCCATGGGCATTGCATGCATGTAGTACACCAATGTACATGTAAACACTCATACACATAAAAAAATAAAAATTAGGGCTGGAGAGATGGCTCCACAGTTAAGAGCACTGACTGCTTTTGCAGAAGACCTGGGTTCTATTCTCAGCATCCACATGGCATCTAACACCCATCCGTAACTCCAGTTCCAGGGGATCCAACGCCTTCTGACCTCAACATGGGTATTCTTACATACGTGCAGGAATACATCCATACACACAAAATTAATAAATAAAATTAAAAAATAAAAATTAAAGAGTCTATCTATTGAATGTAGGTTCTGTAGTACTTGGTATTGGGCTCACCTCACTGTTTTGGGGTTTTGGATTCATAGGTATCACCTCAATTTGATGTAACAGTAGAAAGCCAGTTTCCAGCACACCGGAAACATCACCACCGAGACCAGGCAAGACAATCAACTCGAAAATCTGCCTGCAAGTTTCCACGCCTAATGTTTGAGAGTCCACAGTCTTCCAACTCAGAGACATTGGCGATATCCTTAAACAGAGAGAGCCCCCATCACTTAGAAAAGGACAATCCCAGAAGGCCTTTAGTCCCAGTGCTCAGTCCCCCAAACTGTGGGGAACTGTCCATGTACACATCTCAAAGCTTGCCTCATGAGTTCATTCCACCTGATATCCAGACCCCGGGCTCTTCTGTGAGAGAAGATCCCATTTCCCCAGATCAGAGGGAAAACAGTCTTCCAAGCTTCATTCTTGCTGGAGCTCCTGACAGCCCAGAACCTGGGCCTGTTCTGGTTAAAGACACCCCTGAAGAGGAGTATGGGCTAAAGGTCACATGGAGAAGAAGAAGTCAGCTGTTTGCCTACCTTAAGGAGAAAGGGAAGCTGAGTAGAAGCCAGTTCCTTGTGAAGATCTGACTACATTTCACACGCCTCATCAGCAGTCTCAAAAGTTGCTGATTTTCACTTTCTAGCTCGTAAGAGTATATTGAAAGAATAAAATATAACAATCAGTAGAAAAAAATTTAGCTAGAGGCCTAGAATTATAAGGGATCTCAATTTCTAGATTTGCTTAAGACACCTTTGTATTAGAAGTAGTTGAATTTGGTGCCATGAATTGTACATATTTTTGTGTTAATACCTGTTTAAAATATCTTGTACTGTTTCAAATGTAGCAAAAGTCTTTAGAGAGCTCTGCGTTAGTAAGGCAGTACTGTTGTCCACCTATAAGAGGTCTTCAGTCATTCATCTTTTGCCTTAAACCAATTCATCCCACATTTTTCAGTACTAATTGTAAGGCTTGGTGGCAGCTTCCTCCAGGACCTGATGGACAAAAATAAAGTGAACTCTGATTTTTTTATGGTTGATAGGGACCTCTACAACTTTGGCTTATCTGCCAAAAGGGCAGCCAGCCCAGTGTTGGCAAATATAGTGGAGTGGGGGGAGGCACAGCGGACAGGTGACTCTTAGGTTTATATTTTGAGGTTTTGTTTACAGTGGGAGAAATCTGCCAATGTTAAGTGGTGGGAAAATGGATTCTTACAGCAACTGTTAAACTATGTGTAAATAAAGTGGAAGAATAGTTCTTGTGTAATTAATGGTAAAATGCTGCTTCTGTCAAGTGTCTCAGTGCTCCTTTTACTCAGACAAATAGTATCTCAACTCTCATGTAGCTTCCAACTCCAGCTGGACGCCCTTTACAGAGGTGAGAGGTTTTTTTTTTTTTTTTAGGTTCTGGATTCAAAACCAATCTGGCAACTTCCGTATGGGATAAGGATGTCTGAAGCCATTCCTTGAAAGGCTGCTCTGTCCGGCTTTGGGCGAGTCTGTGGAACAGTCTGCGGATGATCTAAAAGCCTGGGCGGGAGTAGCGGAGGTTGAAGGGCTCGTCGCCTGGGGGAGGCCCGGGAGGCCCCGGACGACATACCCTGGCAGCGGCCTGGGTGGTCTCGGTGCAACTGCCGGATTCGCTGAGTCGCTTCGTGGGTGGCAGCGAAGCAGCTGGGAACGCTTCCGGCAATGCAGCGGTCGGCCCCTTCCTCAGCCTGAGGCGCTCTGGCGGACCCAGCCTTGGCGCCGCATACCCGCCTGGGCGCACGCGCCTTGGCCTCCCAGCACCTCCCGCCCGGGGTGACGCCGTGAGCCAATGAGAGGAGAGCGGCAGGCACCTGGCCCAATGGGCGTCGGCGACAGTACGGGGAGTGGTTGTCAGGGGGCGGGGCCGGGCCACGGTCCAGACTCGCCAGCCTAGCCGCTGAGTCTCCCTGTCTGGACGCGGGTGCCAGCTGCCGGGCGGATGGAGGCGACGCGCTGCGGGATCGGAGCCCGCGGGGAGAGGTCAGCGGGCGGCTGGGCGGCTGGGCGGAGGGCGAGGCCCCAGGCTGGGTGGCCGTGGTCGGGGCCGGGTAGCCAAGGACTCGCGGCGGGCGAGCCTATGTGTGCAGAGGAAGGCGCTGTGCATTCCGCGCGGCCAACGCTGTCTGTGCAGTTTGTGCTTGAAGACTTTTGAAGTTTTCTCCCTTGTACCAGCTCGTCCGGCCTTCCCGGGGCTTCGGGTTTCCCTCGTTGCAGTGCGTTAGCCCTTCTCCGTGTGCGCTCCTGTGTAGTGTCACAACTGAGCTGGGAAGAGTTCTCTCCAGGGACTCTCAGGAAGGTTGTGGGTGATGGTTAATCGGTTCCAAGGCGGTTGCTTTTGGCAGGCAGTGCGGAATTCTGGAACGGAGTCCCAGGCTGAAAATGCAAAACTGTTTCTCTCTCTCTCTCTCTCTCTCTCTCTCTCTCTCTCTCTCTCTCTCTCATATTTATTGAACAGCACATCAGTCAGGATATGATAAAGGAATTTTATCTTAAAGAATTTATTAATTTTTTATATGTATGAGTGTTTTTGCCTGCATATAAGTGTACCTCTCCCTCCCCCTCCCCCGTCTCGTCCCTCTGCGTTCCGTGAGTTCCCTTACTCTGGATGGTCTGTCTTTAGATTGTTCCAGATCCCTTGTTTGTGCCCGTTTCTGCCGAGATACCCTCTTTTTGCCTCGCCCTGGGAAAGCAAATGGGCTGAAATCTCAGCTTGTTCATTTCTCTGTAGTTGGTTAACGAAAAGTTAATGGGAAGCCCTGTGAAATCATTGACTCAAAACTTGGGCATTGTCTGAGGATTGAAATCATGCATGCCAACTGTATTCGTATTCTCTAGTACATTACCTCAGCAAACAAAGATCTGGCGTGTAAGGATCTAGTCCGATATTAAAACTAGTGTTTAACCAGTTTGAAGCCATTTTTTAAAAAGTTACAAAGGCGTTGGAGTAGAACTCCCGTACTCCTACCCCCACCTCAATCTTCTCATGCAAACTAGGCCATTCTCAAACTTGCTATTAAGGATGACTGATCCTCCTGCCTGTCTCCCAAGTGTTGGACTATTCTTTCATTAAGCAAATTCTATTTGGGTGATAGATGACTGCACTTTGAAATTTGTTTCCTTTCCTTTTTTTCCCCCCTTGAAGAAAAACAAAGTTTGCAAGTATAAGTTTGAAAGAGGTGGGGTGAATGAAGTTAGTATTCAGCATCTCTGGTGGAGGCAATTTTTTTTTTTTTAATTTCCTGAACCTAAAGCTTAAAGGTATAATTTTAGCCCCCTCCCCTTTTTCTTCCAAAGAAACCTACTCTTTAATTTTCACTTTTGACATCAAAGGGGAATGTGTGAGTCACTAAATGTTTTTCCTGCCCTAAGTAGTTAGTGAAACTTTTGTCACTGTTTAACTCTTTGTTGGTAAAAGGGAATGGATGTCTTGATTTTTCTGCCTTCATTATGCCCCACCACCACCACCCCAGACAAAATCTTTCAATATGGTCCAGGCCAGCCTCAGGCCTACTATATAGACCAGGCTGATCACAAACTGGAAATCCTCCTGCCTCAGTCTCCTAAGTGCTGGGATTTATGAGCATATACCACTAAGCCTGGTATGTACTTTATGCTAGTTTTTTTGGAGGGTTTTGTTTGGTTTCTTTTTGTTTTTTTTAAGATGGTCTTATAGAACTCAGGCTGACCTTGAACTCCTGACCTTCCTGTTTCCACCGTCCAATTGCTGGGCTTACAGGTGTGCAACACTGTGCCCAGCCTTACATAATGCACTTTGTGTTATGTGTGTGTGTGTGTGTGTGTGTGTGTGTGAATGGTACTGAAGATTGAACCCAGGGCTTTAAAATGCTAAATAAGTGCTCTCCCTGAGCTATAATTGAATCTGTACTTAATTTTTAAAAAACTTTCTCATTAAAATAGTTATTATTATTATTATTGTGCATGTGGGCATGTGCATGTGCAGGTCAGAGGATAACTGTTGCGTCTGTTCTCTCCTTCCACCTTTGCATGGGTTTTGGGACTGGAACTCAGGTTTGTGTGTGTGCTGGATAGCTTTAGTGTCAATTTGACACACCTGGGTTGAGGGAACCTCAATTGGGAAATTTCCTTTATTGGACTAGCCTGTGGCCATGTCTGAGGGGCATCTTCTTGATGAGTGATGTGGGAGGGCCCAGCCCACTGTGGGTAGTGCCACCCCTGGGCAGGTGGGCCTGTGTTGCATAAGAAAGCAGGCTGAGCAGGGGCCAGGGTAGCTAGCCAGTAAGCAGCATTCCTCCATGGCCTGTGCTCCAGTTCCTGCCTCCAGGTTCCTGCCCTGAGTTCCTACCTTGGGCTCCCTGATGAACTGCATCCTGGGAGATGTAAGCTGAATAAACCCTTTCCTCCCCAAGTTGGTAGTGGTCAGAGTGTTTTGTCACAGTAATGAAGAAACAAACCAGGACAGCGGGGTAGCTTCTGTGCTAATATATTTTTGGTGAAGCACATGAATATAGCTGTGTGGATAACACCTAACTTTTAAGTTTCCTGTGACTTTTTTTTTTTCCTTTGAATTATGTGCCTGTTTGTTTTAAGCATAGGCAGATTTCTTTTCAACAGAATAGAAAGCTGTAAACAAACTTCAAATGTCTTTTCCTCTGAAATACGCAGTGAAAATTGGAGATGGGATTTGAAACCACGCTCAGGACCTTTGTTGAGGCTAGGTAATTTATCCTGTCAATGGCTTAGACTCTGACCTTCTGTTAGTGGTACAGGAGTTGGGGAATAGAACTCTGGGCTAAAGCACGTGCCTGGCATTTTTGAAGGCCCTTGGTTTGGTCTCTAGCAGTACATACATGTAAATACATTTGTTAGTGATATAGAATTGAAGGTATGTTATGACCTCGTGATCTAGAATTGCCTAAGACATTCCTGGTCTGCCCAGTTTGGTTGTGCATGTTGTACCTCATCCACTGGACCCCAAAAAGACCACCAAAGACCCAACACACCAAAATGCAAAAGCAAAGGTTTATGGTTTATTCAGGCTTAAGCTCGGGCTCTCAGACCTCACCAACTCAACGGATCCATGCTGAGAGCCCAGAGTAAGGGAGAGTGGAGCCTTTTATAGGTTTCAAACAAAGAGAGGTGCCCAGTTTGGTGGTGCATGTTGTACCTCATCCACTGGACCCCAAAAAGACCACCAAAGACCCAACACACCAAAATGCAAAAGCAAAGGTTTATGGTTTATTCAGGCTTAAGCTCGGGCTCTCAGACCTCACCAACTCAACGGATCCATGCTGAGAGCCCAGAGTAAGGGAGAGTGGAGCCTTTTATAGGTTT